CACTCCGCTATTCGCCCCCAGAGATTGTCAAACATGTTCTTTGTTTTGTACTGGCATCAATAAGACAACCCAAAGAGGGGCTTTGTGGTCAAGTTCTGTAATTCCTTTAAATAACAAACATCCCATGACTGTAGAGCCTGGAGCAGAAATAAATCATCGATAATAATCGATAAATTGATAATACGCATCGGTATTTATACATGCATAAAAGATAAAATCAACAGTTCACTGTTTTCCACCTTATGGATAATTCAAGGATGAATCTCCAAATTAGCGGGCAAAAATCAATAAACCACTAATCTGGTTTATATCCTGGAAACCGTAAAGTAATCAAAAATCTGTTTGACCTAAGCCAATGCTGCACGTAAAATCTGGCATGCGTGTTCAACTTGCTTTAGGGTCAAATGATGCAGTCTATTTGAACAGTGCAACAAAGGAGAAGAATGAGAGTAGACAGAAACGACCTGAGCATCCTTTAAAATCTCCATGCTTGTTTGTCTCCCTCTCAGTGCAATCTATTTCTCTGTCCTTATGGGGTTTTGTTGAGGCGGTAAAGCAATAAAACACAGTATTTACACTCTTTATTTCTAAGAACTTTCGGAAAACGGTTCGCTTAAGGTTTATGATACTGATATGCTCAAAGGTTGCTCTTCCACGATAAAACAAGAGCGAAACTGCTCAGTGGCAAAAGTTAATCATTATGTGTTTAGGAACTCTTTCTCTTCAAGGATAGGTACATGCAAAATTTAACTCAATCTCGTTAAAAGTCTCCTGACATCCTTCAAATAGATTTCATTAGCACCATCTAGGCATTTAGCATCCATGTAGGGATTCCGGAAAACGCAAACCGCAAATCCCGTGAGCTTTTCAGTAGTTGTGTCGACATGACTAACGGCAAAACGCATCTGTCAAGCTCTTTAGTTTGACCAAGATATGATCTGTCCGTATTTTCCCAAATATTTGTATCAAGTCTATCAAGGGCAAAATTCTATGGGTAAGTATATCACCAAGGGTAGTTGACTTTTTTCAAACGCATCTTCCAATGATCATTTCCACGAGTATAGAGTTACAACTTGGCTATCCAAATCATCTCTTCACTATTGTCATCGTGGTCATCAAATACCGACCACACGTTTATTAAATGCAGTAATTTATATCGACACGATTGAATGCCTGCATGGCTAGCTGGGATCAGTGATTTGTGTACGACCGACTGGTTTTGATCCAGTTTCTTCAGTCTACCGATCAAATTTCGTAAGGATCACCTATCTACCTTCCCCCTTTTGGTTTTGCGGCCCTCACTCTCTAATTTCTTTCAGTATCGTGAACAAAACGTATTAATACTGAACTGCTCACAAAAACAACAATTTGTGTGCAAAATCTGTACACGCTCAGTCTTAGGGGAGTGTGTGTGCAGTCGATGGTATTACTTCATTGTTCACGATCAATGAAGGATCGCGTTACTGTTGTCATTGTGGTCGTAGCATGGGTTATAATTTCATATCCATGCTATTGAAGGTGTGCCATCAATCTGTGCTGAACCAAAGAGGGAATGAAAGATAAGAATGGAGCATTAACGATTGCCTTCTTTTATACTTACAAAGACAATTTTAAGGAATAAAGATAAGTTCAATGCAATTAGTCGGTTTTATAACACATTTTATCACCTTTTAAGGTAAGGACTATAACATTTTATTGTGGAAGCTGGAGCTTGAACAATGTTTGGTATTAAGTGACACTTTGTGCTTACATTTTGGAAGACGTGAAGTAATTTTATGCCACACCTGCTTGCTCATATATAGAAAGGTATTCTGTCTGTTACATTTCGTTTATACGTCTTTTTGAAATATTTTGCTCTTTATGAACTTATTCAAGTGCCTTATGATTAGTTTTATTAGTATTGTGTATAGTGTAGTGTATTGTCCGACGTTTTTTAGCATTTACAAAACAGTTGTCGTATCACCATCGAATTTCAAGCGGTAGTTCCTATTCATGAGTAACTTACTTGCGAAGTGAAAGAACTTCCTGCAAGTTCTGACTGATAATAATGAAATTTTCTACCTAACCACATTTGGAACGAGAAATTCAAGCGTGCAAGCTGGCAGATAACCCTCGATTGGACGATCTCTTATTCGGTTTCTGCTTCCGGTTGGGTCAGGGCCAACATCAGACAAATGTTTCGAAAACTGTCCTGTTCAATCAACATAATAGTATCTCCAACGAGGGCAAATGTGTGTTTTCTGCACTCACCAATCTTGCCTGGATGAAATTATCAATGACACACATGTGCACGTCGATCTGTTAGATTACACCCTTCTAAAGAGAAAGCAATACGGATTGGTGTTAGTGCCGTAACTATTTCAATTAGTTCGTCTTTAGCTTTTCGCCTAAAGGCATTCTACTGTTTTACTGTCAAAGACAACCCAATCCGTTTTCGAACGTCCGGGTTGGGTGATATGAGCATCACTTCATTCTGTGCCCGAGAGAGGGACGCCATTTGATTCCATAGTCAATGTTTATTTTCCCTGATTTCTGGTTAATTAAGTGAAAAAGCAAAATATGTTAACCGACTCACTCACTTATAATCAGCTAATAGCTCCCCTGTTATAGCTGTCCACGATCGTTTCTCTCATCCCCGTTGAAATCATCATCAGACTTTGATGCTATCATCACTCGAAGCTGGCGACAGGTGGGCAATCAGGATTCCCTGACATCACAAATCCATTGCATCATGCTTTATCCGCATGTTAGTCACACACACACACACACACACACACACACACACACAATAATCCTACTACCCAGCCGACAGCTATCACATCAACAAGTGTCTTTTATTCCCCAAGACCATGTTTAGGTCATGTTTTTCTGTTAACAAGGAGAACGTCATAGCTATGAGTTCGGAAGAGCCTCGACCGATGAAAACAACATTTCCGTTGTTTTCGTGTTGTGGTTGTACCATTCCAT